CCTAATACTGGGGTCCACTATACTTAAGTCAAGGAATTATTTTATTCTAACCATGAATACACATATATGGATATATAAGCTTAGCTTGTATCTCCTTCAACAGGATGTGTTTGTCCACTACCCAGCAATATTTCACTCCCTTTCGAAATTAAGTAAAAACATCACATGCAAGAGAAACAATACTGCTATCAAAGGAAGACCTTTCACTACTCCAGGACTGTTCCATCTCCGAAACCAAAAGCTTTACTTCTTCAAAGGAATAAATGGGACACTACTTGTACAATAAAGGTTTAAACCACGGTAACAACATTTTTAAGGTACATTCTCCAATGGCTTTCCACATTGTTCAGTTTGCAGACCTATAAAAAAATAAATTGTGTTATGCAACGGGAGCTGGGCAGACAGACGAAGCCTCCTTGCCAGAAGACCTGCTCTTCTATTTACCTTTCATGAAACATATAGAAAGAAGGCAACAGATCCCCCAGGTCCACAAACATCAGACCGAAAAAAATCACCATTGCAACTATGGGAACTACTGCAGTACACCCTAAGGTCCACCTACAATTCCCAAGGAATTCAACTGGAGGTTGACTAGGCCTCAAAAGTTAGTCAACTTTCCCCGTTATCTGCAATGCCAAACTAGAACTACTTTGACAGAAATCTGAGGAGCTCCAACACAAACCTCCGAGGAATCAAAGGGCACAGCCCGGCAAACCTTTGTGCTCCTAAAGCAGACACGCAGAACAAGCAGGGCTACCCACCAAGGCGAAGTTCTCCAAGAAATCCTTACTAAGTTAATATGGAAATTCACAAATCTGATGCAGATGGCCCACGTCTGCACGAGTTAAAATACACAAACTTCCCAGAGATAAGACAGAATGCTGATAAAGACCAACTGAGCCAGCCCATGCCCTGCTGCAGCAGCCGCCAGCCCGCTGCAGACAGCGCACCCCCAACGCGTACGGCGCTGCCCCCCTTTCCGTAAATACAACCCGACTATCTCTGTCCGAGGCGTCCTGAGGAGGAGGGGTGGTATTGCGGGAGGGACGGTACTTATAAAAATAAAAGAACCGAATTGCAGCCTGTATGCTGCTGTCTAGAACTACAGTAACATTTGTACCACCCATTCCCTGGGGAAAATGACATACAATGCGAGCTGGCCTGGCTGCTCAACTCCACAAGTATTAAGAGAGTCACAGAAAGACATCTGAGAAACATAACATTTTAATAGATGAAATAAATACTCCAGTACATGCAAGATAAAAACTGACATTGGAAAAAAAATTAAAAATCACTTTTGTTATAGTGTAATTTTTTGTTTGTTTGTTTAAACACTCACAGTAGCTTTTCCCCCAGTTTGGAAATCAACACATGGAAAACATAATCACAACCTCCAGTCCTTCCACTCCTACACACCAAATGCACTTCTAACCTAACACTTGATGCCAAAGAAAAAAAAAGTCATACAAAACAAAAACAAACAAAATAGTAGCTACATCCATCATCTATGTGTTGTTGGGTTTTTTCATTTTTTTAAATGAGTGAGAACTGAGGTAACCTTTTTCCTGCACAACCGAACAGTAAAATTTAGAAGGGAGATTTCGGAAGACAAGACAAGACAAACTTTAAAAACCGCACCCAGCGCGATTAAAGCTTTTTTTTTTTTCCTCTCCTTTTTTTTCTCTTTTTAAGATACCCCCACCTCCCCAAATATAAAAAACTTTCAAACAGTTGCTATTATCATTTGTGTGAAGACCTTGTTGAATAAAGGAAAATTTATCTGCAAATACTTGCTTGACTTTAAAGTAAAATAAAAAGAAGCCCAAACTGGCTACCTTTATTAGTACGTATAGTTTGACTATGTTCTGCTTCTTCAGCACACGAAATTAAAGTACTGGGCTCATCCAAGCAAATTCTTTGGTATACAAAAACGGGGTGAGGAGGTGGGATATTATTTTCCTTTAGCAATGACTGGGATCTAAACAGAAGATGTGGGGGTTAATTCACAGAATTGGAGTTCACTGGCGGTAAAGTCCTGGGTGAAGATCTTTCTCTTAGTGCCTGAGATAACAGGTTGCAACCATCCGAGACGGCGCAAGCTGAGTTCCTCAACCTTTCCCTGTAATCGCTCATTTTGGTGCTACTTTCGGGGTGTTGGGCTATATCCCTGAGGCATTGGGTCAGGAGCACACAAGCAGATACCACACTCATGGCTCCTCCTAGGATGGCAGTTTGCACAGCTTTGCCCTCTGGATTAATGGTGGCAGCTTTACCCAAAAACTGGGGCTCAGTGGCAAAGCCCACCAGAGCATAGACAGACTGCACCAAAGGTCCACTGAACAAGACGCATCGGTTCCTGGTCAGCTCGCTGGGTGAAGTCTTGACCTCCTTGACGCACGCCAAGAGGGCAGAAGCGCTGGTGCTCATACATTTGACACTGAGTTTGAACTGCTCCTTAGCAAATTTATCCTTGGATTTCTCACTGGCCAGCACGCAGGCATCTGTCAGGAATTTCAAGTTCTTGGACATGTTCTGAGAAACCTCCAGCAGGAGCTGAGGGCTCATATCTGCCAAAGGGGTGGTCTTCAAGACCCCGCAGCCGTGCTCCACCTCATGCCTACATCGGGTCACCTTGTAGCGATCCACCAAGCCAGGCATGGCAGGCTGGGCCCCCGGAGTCTCCACTGCAGCCAGGTAGGCAGCGTGGGCAGAGCATTCGGTCAGGGAGACCACCAGCTCCCCCATCTCCATCAGGCTTTCCCCCACCTCCCCGAAGCGTCCCATGTTGAGCTGGCTCTGGACGTCGTGGGTCAAGATGGAGAGTCCTTTGGTCCTGGCAATAATCGTGTCCCTGCACTTCTCGAAGGACTCGCCGAAGACGGACAGGCTCTCCGTGTTCACCGGCCTGGTCTCGCTCGACAGCAGCAGCAGATCAGCCACCAGTTGCATCTTGATCTTGCAGTGGTCGCAGATAGAGATGAGCTTCTTCCTCTGCAGGGAACCGCTGCTGGGGATGCCGCCGCCAGACACCTCGCTGCTGGACTTGCCAGAGCCACC